TCCACTGGAGTCCTGTATTTGAAAGTCAAATTTTCTGTTTAGCTCTGGTCTTTTCATCAGGAATGCTTGAAAGTCCTCTATTTCACTGAATGACCATTTTTTCCCCTGAAGGATTATACTCAGTTTTGCTGGGTAGGTGATTCTTGGTTGTAATCCTATCTCCTTTGCCCTCCTGAATATTATATTCCATGCCCTGTGGTCTCTTAATGTAGAAGCTGCTAAATCATGTGTTATCCTGATTGTGTTTCCACAGTACTTGAATTGTTTCCTTCTGGCAGCTTGTAATATTTTCTCCTTGACCTGGGAACTCTGGAATTTGGCTACAATATTCCTAGGAGTTTTCCTTTGGGGATCTCTTTCAGGAGGAGTCTGTGGATTCTTTCCATTTCTATTTTGCCCTCTGGTTCTAATGTATCAGGGCAGTTTTCCTTGATAATTTCTTGAAAGATGATGTCTAGGCTCTTTTTTTGATCATGGCTTTCAGATAGTCCAATAATTTTTAAATTCTCTCTCCTGGATCTATTTTCCAGGTCAGTTGTTTTTCCAATGAGATATTTCACATTGTTTTCTAATTTTTCATTCTTTTGGATTTGTTTTACAGTGTCTTGATTTCTCATAAAGTCACTAGCTTCCAATTGCTCTATTCTAATTTTTAAGGAAGTATTTTCTTCAGTAACCTTTTGGACTTCCTTTTCCATTTGGCCAATTTCTTTTAGGCATTTTCTCCTCATTGGCTTTTTGGACCTCTTTTGCCATTTGGGTTAGGCTATTTTTTAAGGTGTTATTTTCTTCAGTATTTTTTTGGTCTCCTTTAGCAAGCTGTTGACTTGTTTTTCATGATTTTCTTGCATCACTCTCATTTCTCTTCCCAGTTTTTCCTCTGCTTCCTTTACTTGCTTCTCAAAATCCTTTTTTGAGCTCTTCCAAGGCCTGGGACTGATTCATATTTTTCTTGGAGGCTTTGGATGTAGGAGCTTTGATTTTGTTGTCTTCTAGTTGTATGTTTTGATCTTCTTTTTCACCAAAGTAAGATAATATAGTCTGACTCTTTTTGTGCTGCTTGCTCATGATCCCAGCCAATTACTTGAGTTTTAAACTCTTTGTTAAGGTAAGAGTCTGCTTCCAATGTGGAGAGTGTACTGTCCCAAGCTTCAGGGGTTTGTGTAGCTGTTTTCAGAGATACTTGTAGGGACCTGTAAATTTTCAGTTCTTCCAAGGTGGTATGATAAGGGGCGAGGTGTTTACTCCTTTCCTGGCCTGTGACCACAAGTATTCCTTTCTGTCCCATGACTGTGAAGAGGGGTTCCTCTCCACAGCCACTACAAGCTCCACCATGCCAGCACTCCTCCTCACTCCAGCACTGCCGCCCAGAACTGTGACTCAGAGCTACACACGGGCAAAGCAAGAGATTCCTGCCTCAGCACTGGCAAAGAGATCCCTGCAGTCCCTCTCTGATCAGCCACTGGATTCCCCCTCAGTCTGTGGGCGGGAAGCTCTGGAAGCAGCTGCCTCACCCCTCCCGCCCCCGCCCATGCTCTTGGGGAATGGAGCTGAAACCCTGCCTTCCTCTCTGACGACCGAGAGAAACAGACTTTTCCCACAGACCTTCAAAGTTGTCTTTGGCATTTGTGGATTGAGGAGTCTGGAAACCTCCACAGTTGCCCGTGATTCAGTCCTCTGAGGCCTGCTCCAGGTTTGTTGTGGCCTGCACGCCCATGCTGCGCTGCACTCCCATCCCGGCGTGATACACCTTTCTGATCAATCATCCAGGTTGTCTTGGGCTGGAAATTTATTTCACTCTGTCTTTTTGTGGGTTCTGCTGCTTCGGAATTTGTTTAGAGCCATTTTTATGAGTATTTGGAGGGGTTTGGGGGAGAGCTCAAGCAAGTCACTGCTTTCACTCCGCCATCTTGGCTCTGCCCCCTTGTTCATTATTTCTTATAGCACAATAGTATTCCATTACATTCGTATACCACAACTTTTTCAGCCATTCCCCAACTGATGGGCATCCCCTCAATTTCCAGTTCTTTGCCATCAGAAAAAGAATTACTATAAATATTTTTGTACATGTGGATCCGTTTTCATTTTTTTATGGTCTCTTTGAGATACAGACCTAGAAGTGGTATTGCTGCGTCAAAGAGTATGCACAGTTTTCTAGCCCTTTGTGCATATTTCCAAAGTGTTCTCCAGAATGGTTGGATCAGGTTACAACTCCATCAACGGTGCATTAGTGTTCCAATTTTCCCACATCTTCTCCAGCATTTATAATTTTCTTGTTTTGTCATATTAACCAATCTGATAGATGTGATGTGGTACTTGAGGACTTTTTTTTTAAGCAACAACTGATTAAATACAAGGTGAAAAGACGCCATGTTTCTCAAAGAATTCAAAATTAGCTAAGACACAAAATATGTGCATATATAATAATGAAAAGGGGGAAACGAAATCTAATAGGGGAGACATACACACTTCATAAGTCACTTGAGTTTATTTTTTCTTTTTACAAAATTTCAATTCGAGTACACTTTGTGGCTTGCAAATTATTATATTCTTGGCCAAATAAACACTTACCAGAACTACTTTTTCTCGTTATCTACTTCTCTTCAATATATTCCTGATACCCTTCAGCACTATCCTCCTATAACTTCATGAGGATAAATTTTGCACATCATTGCTTCAGAGAGCTGAACTCTTATCTTTGTAAGAACCTTCTCCACCAATAGTCACCTAGTTGTCACCTAATAAGTGCCTTAGAAAGTTGCTTGGGGTTCGGAGAGGTTGTGACTTGCTTATCAGTGGTAGGATTTGAATCTAGATATACCTTGCTGCACCTCTACACTGTGCTTCCTCTATATTGACTCTGTGTGTGTGTGTGTGTGTGTGTGCCCGCGCGCACTGGCATGCATGCAAGCTCAACTTCATGTGAGTCAAACTACCTCCTGCTGAGAAAACTCCCTTTACTAAAGCACTTAGCTCAGTGCCTGTCACAAAGCAGGTTCTATATAAATGCTTATTTCATTCCCTTCCCTTCCTTAATGCAGATCTATATTTTCTCTGCAACTTAGTCTTAGGCAATTGCTTGAGGCATTCTTAAACTTAAGTGACTTGCCTAGCATCACACAGGGCAGGGTATGTCATAGGCAGGCCTTTAACCCAGTCTTTTAGGCCAACTGCCTATCCTCACACTGTGCTGGCTTTTTACATGAGTAAGATAGAGAAGATTCAGGGGAAAAAAATGCTATTGAAAAGATCCTAATTTTATTGTTTTAGTTCTGTAACTTCTCAGATTTTATATATGTATATTTTGTATGTGTATATGTACACATATAAAATCTGAGAAGTTACAGAATATTATGTGATCAACTAACATAATCTTAGGCTTGGGTGGATGGTGTTGATTTTGTTATTTCCATAGTATAAGGATCTCCCTAGTGGGGAAACTCCCTGTACCAATGTAAACTATCAACTCTTTTGCAACTTGTAGTCCATTCCTGTGGTGCTGTTCAACAGAATTGCAGCAAGTCATGCAACTTTGTTGACTGTTCCCCCTGCAAGTTCATCTTATCTCATCTAAAGGAGCTGTCACTACAGCAAAACATTTCTTTTATTCCTCCCTAATTGAATTTTTATCCTACTCCTTATAGGGACTGTTTCAGAACTTCTCTCCCCTCGTCAAACATTCCATACCAATCTTTCTTCCCATCTTCACAACTAAAAAACTCACTTTTAACTGTATTAAGAAAATAGAAGCTCTTAGTTGTGAATTTCCTCTTCTCCCCTTCTCTTCATTTCACGACCCCTTGACATCTCCTATTCTCTCCTTTATCCTAGTCTCTGATGAAAAAACCAACCACTTTTCATGTATCCTTCACCTCATCCTCCCCTGTCATCTCTAGTAGGTTGCTTCCACTGTCGGCCCCCACCTCAACTATCAATCTCTCCCTATCTGCTTGTTCCTTCCCTGCTGCCTACAAACATGCCCACATTTCCCCAATCTTGTTATAACGCTCACTAGATCCTAACTATCCTCCAAGATATTTTTCTGTATCTTTTCTCCCATTCTCAGCCAAACTTCTTGAAAAATCTGTCTGTACTTGTTGCCTTCATTTCTTCTCCTTTCTTCTCTAAATCTTCTGCAGTCTAGCTTCCAACTTTATCTGTCATTTGAACTGGCTCTTTTGAAAGTCACAAATGATTGGTACCTTTTCTCAGTTCTCCTTCTCAACCTCTCTGCAATATTTGACACCATTGGCTGCACTCTTGTATTCTCTCTCCTCTTTGGGTTTTCCTGATGCTGTTCTCTTGTTTATCTCCCTACTGGTCTTGACTGCTCCTTCTTAGCCTCCTTTGCTGAATCAAGCTCTTCACTGTGGGTATGCCTCAAAAAAATCTGTCCTCAGACCTCTTTCCTTCTCTTTATGATCTTTTTATTTGTAACCTTGTTAACTTACAGGTTTGATTTTCTTCTCCATGCTACTGATTCCTAGATTGATAATTTTAGCCTTAGTCTCCCTTCTCAGCTCCAGTCTCTCACCTCCACCTGCCTACCACACATTTTTCACTTGATGTGTCCCATAGGCATTTCAGACTCTGTATTTCCAAAACTAAAATCATTGTATTCTTTTTGAATCTCACCCTTGTAATAATCTCCCTATATCCATCGAGGGGACTCCTCTTGTCCCTGTCACCCAGCTTCACAAATTCAATGTTATTTTCAGCTCCTCACTCTCACCTCACATTCTCAGTTTGCAAATCTTGTCATTTCTGCCTCTGCCCCATGTTTTGCATCTGTACCCTTCTTTCTATTCATGTAACCACTAAACCAGTTCAGGATCTCATTATCACTTATTCCTCCTTCTCCCTGCTTTCCATCTTCCCTTTGCGTGTTGTCTTCCCCCACTTGAAAGTAAGCTTCTTGAAAGCAGTGATTGTTTTTGCTTGTGTTTGTATCCCTGATGCCTCACATAGTGAGTGCTAAATAAATGCTTGTTGTTACTTACATTTTAAGTGGATACTTGCTGTAGCCTCTTCGTTGGTTTCCCTTTTCGAAGTCCTTCCCCTCACCAATCCAACCTTAACCCAGCTGTGTAAGTAATTTTCCAGAAGTGCAGTTCCATGTCACTTCCTACTTAGTAAACTCTAGTGACTCCATTTCCTCCAAGATCAGATAAAAGTCCTCTCCTTTACATTTAAAGCACATCATAGCTGCTCCCAACCTCCCCTTCCAATACTGTTGTTCTTTCCATGCAGTTCTGTAGTACAAGGAGAAATAAGCTCCTTGATTTTTCTTCCTTTGTGATGTTCCTTCTCCTGCCTCTGGCCTTTTGCTATCTCTTTCTCCCATTGCCTAGAATGTATTTCCTCCTCCCTGCTGACTCTCAGAATCCCTTTTTAAGGTTCAGCTCTGCCATAAAACCTTTCCTCATAACTCCAACTGTTAGCACATTTAAAAAAAAATCAACTTATATTTACATTGCACATGCTTATAAATGCTCATGTCTCTACCAGCTAGGTCAGGTGCTATTTTTATTTTGTTGTTTGTATCTCCATTTCTTTACACGGTATTTGGCTTGTAGTGGACACTTAAGAGATTCTTGCTTGCATCACTGATTGATTGAGGCACTGAGAGTTTGTGACACATTCAGTATGTTTCCAAAATTAGAACCTAGGTCATCCTGACTCTGATGCCGTTTCTCTCTCTAACATGCCTCTACTTTTAGTATAAAAAGATTATTTACCCTCTCTGAGATTACCAAGATCATCATATAGTTAATTTTTAAAAAAATTATTTCTTTTCCTCAAGGATATATCAGAATAAATCTTTTTAGCCACATGAAATTCTCATTCTGAATTTGACTTTACTTTTTAATGCTGTTTGTGTGTAACTTGGGTATCTTAGTATAAAGAGAACAGTTTTTTTTAATGCTCTGCCCTTTTTAAGACTCCTCCATAGTGCCATAGATTTCAATTTCTTCAGTTATCATTTTTAAGAACACAAGTTTGTCATCGTCCTGATCCACTGCTTATGAATCATTCTCCCCTGCCCCGCCCCATAATTTATCTTTAACCTTGAGACCTAGATAGGTTCTTTCTACACTAACATATCTATTTAAAAGCAAACAAATTATCTCAGTAAGAGAGAAAAACAAAAAGAGAAATCACAGTCAGCATCTTACAGTTTGGCTTTAGTTTAATTTTTGCCCATGAAAAATTTTCTGTAGCAAAATTAAGCTGATACTAAAGATGTAGAAGAGTTTAGATTTCATTTTCCTTTTAAGGATTCCTAAATAAGATCATGTATGTTTCTTTGACTCTTCCCTTTTCAAGAGAGAAGTATATTGTTGAGAAAGTTTTGACATCATCTAGTTGAAACATCCAATTGGGTCAGAAGAACTGGATTTGCATTTTTGCTCTGACACTTTTGACCTCAGTGACCTCGAGCAAGTCAGCTAAGCTCCTTGGGCCTAAAGTTCTTCATTTGAGTCTTTCTAGTTTATAACAACTCTAAAATCATAAGATCCCTGTGAGGTTTTGAACATTCTTAGGCCAGGCTGGAAGAAGAGTCTGTATGTTCTATTCCCTTAAAAGCTTGGACAGTGCACTTAGAGTTTCCATTCTTTTCTACTTGTCCCCTTTTTTTAAATTTCTCTTTTCCACTCTCTGCAGCCAGATTGTATTATTTGTGTGCTCATAGTTTTATAGAGCTTAACCAGATGTTATAAAGTTTATAATTGCAAAGTTTATAAGAGCATTATGCTGAAAATTGACCAGGAAATTTTTTAGCAGGTGGTTCTTTCCAGAATTAGTATTGATAGTGGATGTTTCTTTAGCCAATCACACTGTGAATTCAAAGTGTCCTTCAATTTACATTTATTTTTTATTTTTTATGAATGATATTTTATTTTTCCTGATTACGTGTAAAAAGAACTTTTAACATTTGGTTTTTTTTTTTTAATTTTGAGTTCCAAATTCTTTCTCACTCCCTGAGGTAGTAAGCAATTTGATATAGGTTATACATGTACAAACATACAAAACATTTCTATTTCTTTAAAAGAAAAAAATCTAATGAAGAGAAAATGAATCTTTCAAATCCTCAAAAAGACCAGGTACTCAATAAAATGCATCTATATGGCATGCTACTGCAGGACAGTATGGTAAGTAGTCAGTAAATGTTTATTGACTGGATGGGGGAAATCATATATATTTAAGAGAATGTCAACCTTGACATTTCTCCTTATAAACTAAAAGATATTGCAGTCAATGGAAGAAAGTTGCACAGGTTCTCTTTGTAGAAGCAAATAAAAGAGTTATTGGAACTGATTTTAAGAAAGAATTGTCATTTTATGAGACAATTTGGTCTTGTTTTCAATGCTCATGATAAGCATTTGTTAAAAAAAAGACAGTCATGAAAATAATTGCAGTTTATGTGCTAACGTCTGTTGCAGAGGATGGTGAGGAGTGAAGAATATGATGAATTAATCCATGTTAAATAATTCTGTGAAGAATATGATAAGACAGTCCATGTTAAATTAGCACATACTTTAGACTGGATATAAAAAGGATGTAACCCCTTATCTCTGAGTAGTTGTGCAGAAAAAGTGGTATGAATTGTTTGATCAGAAAAAGAGTTGGGTTGGTCATAACAGCAACTATAAAGAAGTAGCAATGAACAAATAGCTTGTATACTTTACTGATAACCAGCAACTATTAAGACACTTAACACAAGGGGTCAGACTCCCTCTGGAAGTTTTATGAGAAGACATGGACAAGAGTCACAAAGGATGAGAAGGCAGGGTTAAATTGCTAACAGTTCTATTAAGGGGAATACCCCCATTAATAAGCTCATGTTTCATCAATAACTTCAGTGCAAATGTAGACATAGGAGAGGAAGGTGATAAACATACATGAATCAAGAATAAGAAATAAGCAAATCAAAATAGAACAGAGACAAACAAAACTTTGGAGCTTCTCCAAGCAGTAGATCTTGGCCACATATCTCATTTCCAAGTAGAAAGAGATGGTAGTCAGGGATAATAATATTTGCTACATGAAAGATTTGTGAGTCTCGTCATAAGATATTAAGAAACAAGTTTGTTGAAAACTGGGTAAGAAATCCAGCCAAAGCAGATCATCCTGAGAGGATTTAAGACTGAAATGGGAAGGATCCGTAAAGATTTCTAAAAACAAATTCTGTCCATTAATGACAGTGAAGCCACCACATTTGTAATTTAGCATCACTGTCCCTAGTGTGCTTTATGAAAAGGTGGAACTGGCCCTGAAGAAAATGAAGAGAAGAACAGTTGCACTAGAAATGGATTAGAGCAGTTTTGAGGACTTTAAATGATTGATTCTCATGATATTTGAAAAAAGGAAAGGTATTAAAGGCATGGAGGGTGGAACCTTAGACATTATTATTAGGGAAAAAAATTTAAAGTAAATTAAGAAGATATTTTGCATGTCTAAAAAATATTTATGAACATAATATACCGATACATTGAGTGCATCCTTGATGGGATTTAGAAGGACCAGATACCCATCTTAGATCTAATGTCTTTGGTTTTAAAATCATTTTTTGGGAAAATATCACTTTCCTTCTTCTTCCCAGAAAGTTGTCCTTTATAAGTAAGATTTAAAGAGAAAGAGTAGAAAAAAAGTTGGGTAAAACCAAACAATAATCAGCTGTGTCTGATAGATTGTACAACAATCCACATACCCCAGATCCTCCACTTCTTCGGTGAAATAGCCACATTTTTTCAGTTCTTCTTTAGAGCCACTCTTGGTCTTTGTAATTACAGAGCATTCTGTTTTGGTTTCTGTTCTTTCTGCTTGTATAATAGTAATCATTGTTATGTTTGTTTTCCTGCTTCTACTTACTCCACTATGAATAAATTCACGTAATTCATCTCATGCTTCCCTGAATTATTCAGTCATTTCTTATAGCACAGTAACACTGTTTTATACTTATGCCCTACAGTTTGTATAGTTGATGGTTAGCTATTTTGTTTTTAGTTCTTTGCTATTACAAAGCTTGTCCTTTTGAATATTTTGCAGCATGTGGGGACTTTCTTTACTTAATCTCCTTTGAGTTCTATACCCAACAGTGAGATCTCAGGGTCAAAGGGAATGATATTTATGTCATATTTTTAAAAAAATTCCAAAACACCTTCTAAAATGTTTGGATCAAGTCTCAGTTCTACTAATTTTGTTATTAGTAGTCTTGTGTTTCTGAAGGTGTTCCAACATTGACTACTTGTATCTTTTGACGTCTTTAGTAATTTGCTAGGTGTAAGGTGGAAACTTCAGAGTTTTTAAAATTTCTATTTCTATTTTTACTTATTTGGAGCAATTTTTCATATAGTAGTTAAGTTTGCAGCTTTATTTTTTAATAGGTTTTTTCGTATTCTTTGATCACTTACCTACTAGGGAGTAGGTTTTACAGACTATATCTTTATAGTGACACAACTGACTGAAAGGCTTAATGAATGAAGGAACCCATAATGCTTAGCATTTTACTGTAAAAGCATTAGATTTGCTAAAGCAAAAGTCTTACTTAACGTCGATACATCAACAGTATTTTTCCAGTGCATGTATTAAAATCATACAAGATTCTTTGAATAATGTGAAAATAGAGATAATTTTGTTTAACCCTCTAGTTTTTAATATCAAGTAAGGTATAAAGCAGGGAAACATTTTCATCAAAGATGCTTGCCACTTCCATGAAAGATGTCCATAGCAGAGTCCAAGTACAAGAGGGCTTCCTCATAAAGGGAGAAATTTTTCCACTTGTTCTTGTTTGCAGATGACATTGGGAAATACAGTAGTGTTTTTAATGACCTAAGCTTTTCCTCAAAAAAAAAATCTACCTTTTTAATGTCATTTAAGCTTAGTGACTTCACAGTCTCCAAAGAATGTCATGCACCCTGCTGATGGAATTGTGAGCTGATCTACCCAATCTGGCAAGCAATATGGAACTATGCCCAAAGGACAGGCTATAAAACTGTGCATACCCTTTGACCCAGCAATACCATTTCTAGGTTAGCATCCCAAAGAGATCCCAAAAAAGGAGAGAAAGACCTATTTGTACAAAAATATTTATAGCAGCTCTTTTTGTGGTAGCAAAGAATTGAAAATTGAAGG